AAAAAAAAAAAAAAAAAAAAAAAGGAATATCTGAGGCTGGGTAATTTATAAATCAAAGAGGTTTAATTAGCTCAGGGTTCTGCATATTGTACAAGCATGGCACCAGCATCTGCTTAGCTTCTGGGGAGGCCTCAGGAAACATTTACTTGTGGTAGAAGGGGCAGGGGGGGCAAAAAAGGGACACCAGGCTCTTTTAAACAACCAGCTTTCAGTGGAACTAATTAATAGAGTGAGAATTCACTCATTACTGCGAGGTGGGCACCAAGCCATTCAAGAGGGGCCCGCCCTGTGACCCAAACACCCCCCACTAGACTCACCTCCAACACTGGGGATCACATTTCAACATGAGATTTGGAGGGGACAAACATCCAAACTGAATCTTCCTGTTTAAATTCCTTCAGTGTCTCTCATGGCCTGCAGCGTCAAGTTGGAGCTCCTTAGTATGGCTTTCCCACCCCTCTCCTGCCCCGTAACCCGCACCCTTTCCCCCACCATATAATCTTTTTTAAATAACGCTTTTATTGAGAATAATTCACATACCATAAATGTATCCTTTCAATATGTACAATTTAGTGATTTTTAGTATATTCAGAGTTGTGTAACCATTACTGCTACCTATTTTTAGAACATTTTCCTCCAAAAAGAAACCCTGTACCCATTAGCAGTTCTTCCCCCATTTTCTCCCCTTCTCCAAGCTCTGGGATCCACTCTTCTGCTTTCTTTTTTTGAGACGGAGTCCTGGTCTGTTGCCCAGGCTGGAGTGCAGTGGTGCGAACTCAGCTCACTGCAATCTCTGCCTCCCGGGTTCAAGTGATTCTCCTGCCTCAGCCTCCCCAGTAGCTGGGACTACAGGTGCGCGCCACCACACGCGGCTAATTTTTTTGTATTTTAGTAGAGGCAGGGTTTCACCATGTTGACCAGGATGGTCTCGATCTTCTGACCTTGTGATCCGCTGCCTTGGCCTCCCAAAGTGCTGGGATTACAGGCGAGAGCCACCACGCCCGGCCTCTGCTTTCTGCCATTATGGATTGCCTATGGTGGACATTTCACATGAATGGAATCGTACAATATGTGACCTTTTGTGAGTGGCTTCTTTTATTTAGCATAACATTTTCAAAGTTTATCCACGTTGTAGCATGGATTAGAGCTTCATTTTTATGGCTGAATACTATTATATTTTGTAGATATACCACTTTTTTTGTTTGAGACAGGTTCTCGCTCTGTCACCCAGGCTGGAGTACAGTGGCAGGATCAGACCTCACTGCAGCCTTGACTTCCTGGGCTGAAATGAACCTCCTGATTAAGTCTTCCAAGTAGCTGGGGCTACAGGCTCATGCCACCATGCCTGGCTAATTTTTTTTTTTTTTTAAATTTTAGAGGCGCTGAGTCTCACTATGTTGCCCAGGCTGGTCTCGAACTCCTGAGCTCAAGCCATCCTCCTGCCTCAGCCTCCCAAAGTGCTGGGATTATAGGCATAAGCCACCACGGCCGGCCCACATTTTTGCTTATCCATTCTCATCTGATGGACATTTGGATTGTTTCTACTTTTGGCTATTATGAATAATGCTGCTATGAACGTTCCTGTACATGATTTTGTATGGATCTATGTTTTATTTCTCTTGGGTGTTTACCTACGAGTGGAACTGCTGGGTGCTATGGCAACTCTATATTTAACATTTTGAGGAACTGCCAGACTTTTCCAAACGGCTGCACCATTTAACATTCCCAACAGCCATGTATGAAGGTTCTAAATTCTCTACATCCTCCCCATGTAGCTGTCTGTCTTTTCGACTTTAACTGTCTTAATGTATCCCTGTAATCGTAATAGTGAGCTAATACAGCTCTTACTAAGCCTAATCACCATTCTAAGCATAATTCAATGCTCATAACACCCCTGTGAGGTTGATATTTTTGTTATCCCCATTTTACAGCTGAGGAAACTGAAGTACAGAGAGATGAAGTAACTTGTTTGGTCTCTAACATCTAATACTTGTTAGAGCCTCAGGATTCAAATACCAGGAATTTAATTCTGGAGTCTGTGCTCTTAACCATCACATTATACTGCTTCTCATAGGCCACTATATTAATGTGCTTAGTGTGTATCTCTGTGAGTTTTTGCAAAATGTGTATTTAATTAACATAAATGGTATTGTGTTATAGATCTCACTTCACCTATTACTTTTTTTTTTGAGTCAGAGTCTCACTGTGGAGTGCAGTGGTGCAATCTCAGCTCACTGCAACCTCCACCTCCCGAGTTTAAGCGATTCTTCTGCCTCAGCCTCCCAAGTAGCTGAGACTACAGGTGCCCGCCATCATGCCTGGCTAATTTTTGGTAGAGACAGGTTTTCACCATGTTGGCTAGGCTGGTCTCGAACTTCTGACTTCAACTGATCCGCCTGCCTTGGCCTCCCAAAGTGTTGGGGTTATAGGCGTAAGCCACCGGGCCCCACCCCCTGCTTTTTTATTTTTTAACGAAGTTCTATGTTTGAAACCCATCCGTGTTGTTCCACCTTTCCTGCTCATCCAACCTGTGCATGCTTTCTCTGGGGGCAGCACCCGCCACACTGTGCTTGTCCCCTCTCTGTGTGTGCAGGGCTCACCAGCCTTCAGGACTGGCCACTTCTGTAGCCTCTCCTTCATTCCTTCCCTGCATCCAGCCTGGGCTCTAGAAGTGCTGACTTCCCAGCACATCCTAGAATGTGCAGTGGTGTCACGCCTCCGTGCCTTTATTCTTCAAGGCCCATGGAATATCCCAGGTCATCTAGTTCCAATCTCCTCATTTCACAGAAGAGGAGAATAAGCTTAGAAACAATGACTTGCTCAACGCTTTACAACCACAGCCCCACTCCTTATCTTTGGCCAGCCTCTTCTTCCTCTTCTTTTCATTCCTTCTCTGCCTCTCACCAGCCAAAGTCCCCATTCCCTCTTTGCCCTGCTCCCATCGCTAGCTCCAAGACGGCAGGGTAGCAGAGCACAGATTCTCTCTGTACCGTGTGGCACACGTGCTGTGCTACAATCCACACAGCCTCCCTGTTCTGGAACCTGTGATTTGCTGTGAAATTGCATTCCTACTGCAGCAGTGTTGCCTCTGTGATTGCTTTCTCTCTGTCCCCACACCTGTCACAGGTGACTTTTGGATCCCCCATTCTGAGACATGCTGATGCAAAAGTCTCCGGGAAACACTTGGTCTCATTCTTGCCCTGGGAACTTATCTTCCTCCCCCCAACTCCGTGCTCATCACTGGTCACACTCTCTCCTTTAATCCTGCTTGCCTCCACCTCTCCATTTCATTCATTCATTCATTCATTCATTCATTCATTCATTTCTCACTCAACAACTGTCTAGCTTCCCTCCACCTCTCCCATTTCATTCATTCATTTATTCATTTCCCACTCAACAATTATTAATCATCTCCCCTGTCTCCTAGACGACAGGAACTGTGCAACTAATGCAGAGATGACACAGAGATGAATGAGATGTGGCTCCTGTCCTCAAGGAGCTCATGATTCATGGGAAACTAACATTTAGACACATGAACAGTTAGGGACACTGCAAGAATCTTTATAGTGCAACAAGAGAGAAGTCACAGGGCAGCAGGGAAGTCAAGGCCAGTGAGCTCAGATGGCCTGGTGAGAGGAGCCTGGGCTAGAAGGTAGATGACATGGGTGTGAACCCCAGGCTCGTCATCACTGTGTGACCTTGGGCCAGCTATTTGAGCTCTCTGAGCCTTAGCTTCCTCCTGTGTGATGCGAGGATGAGGCTCTCACAGGCTGTTGGTTGGAGTGACTGAGGGAGTGTGAGTAAACCTCTCAGCATTGTGCCAGCACATAGTAGGTGATCAGGAAACAAATGGCTCTGAAAGGCACAAGTGCGGTAGGAGTTTAAGGAAGTGGCGATTTCTCTCCGCCTCATCTTCCTGCTCCATGGACCACGTACACTTCCCTCTCTGACCGTACTCTCTCTCCTGATAAGGAATTACTCTCACTTCCACCACCCGATGTATGGAAACTGCTATACTTTCAATGGCAAGAACAACTCCAACCTCTGGATGTCTTCCATGCCTGGAATCAACAATGGTGAGTGACTCCCTGCTTGCTCCGTGGCCGCCCTCTGCTTCAGCCACTCACGTGTACTCACCTTGAGCTCACCTCCTAGAGCTGCGGGGAAGGGTCCTCTCTGCTCTCTCTCCCCAATAGGCGCCACATAGTCCATTCCAGGCATGAGAGGAATCCTGTCCCAGGCCTTCCTCCTGCCTCCAGAATCCAGCTCAGGGGTTGCCAGGTCCCATTGCAGGTCTTCCTGAGCTTGCTCTTCTTGCAGCGTTAGAGATTGGGCCAGGGCAAATTTCCATCTTCTACCTCTTCTCCAGGATTCCAGCCCCTACCAACTCTGCCCTCTCTGCACCCCTAGGTCTGTCCCTGATGCTGCGCACGGAGCAGAACGACTTCATTCCCCTGCTGTCCACAGTGACTGGGGCCCGGGTAATGGTGCACGGGCAGGATGAACCTGCCTTTATGGACGATGGTGGCTTTAACTTGCGGCCTGGCGTGGAGACCTCCATCAGCATGAGGAAGGCAAGGATGCTGACGGGGAGGCCTAGAAGGAAAGCCCAGGCTGCAGAGGGGCTGGGGGAAGGCATGGGGGGTGGGTTTACCAGCTAGAAGGCTGGGGAGGGAGAGCGTGTGGGGTGGACCTTGAGCATGTGGAAGTCTTCAGGAGCAGGAATGAGGGGCAGAGGGGCTGGCACTGGGAAGCGGGCCCTGCAGGGTGGACCCTGGGAGACAAGGGCTGAGAAGGTGTTCAGGGCATGCTTAGGATTTCTGGGAATGCTCTGGGCCCAGTGGCCTTGAAATGGGCACTGGGTGGGCATGGGGGTGGCTAGAGGCATGTATTGAGAGGGTGAGGCAGGTAGGAGGGGTTGGCAGGTGTGAGGCACAACCTGGGACTGAGGGAAGGCAGGGAACTGAGAGACACTTGCTCTGTCCTCTGATCTCTTGGTGTATGTGGGTTCATAGGAAACCCTGGACAGACTTGGGGGGGATTATGGCGACTGCACCAAGAATGGCAGTGATGTCCCTGTCAAGAACCTTTTCCCTTCGAAGTACACGCAGCAGGTGAGGCCCAACCTCTGTGGCAGCCACCCCAGGCCTGCCCTGGTCGGTCCTGCAAAGCTGGAGGGGAGTGTGTGTGAGAGAGAGAGGGAAATGGGGGTGGGGAGGAGTGGGGGAGGGAAAAGAGGAATG